CTCCATCCACCACTTCAGCCATGTTATCCATGGCAGGTCACCACACTAGCAAAAGAAAACAAAGATGCTTGGTAAAATGTAATAGGAAATATAAAAGAAAAGTTTCAATCAAATATGGAGCTGCAGGACAAAAACCTTAACATTTAGTCCAATAATCATGATCAAATGATGACTTTTTTTGGAAAAAAGTTCACTGCTTCCTAACGCAATTTGCATTAATTGTCCAACTTCGGAAGTTAAGTCATTCAATTTAGTGAAGTGTGACGGATGAGAATAAACAACTCATTTGTCATCAGCTTCATGGCTAAAGTTGTTTCCAAATTTTGCATAGAGCTACAAAATTGGTAACAAGCTGATGGGAGGCTGTCTCCTCGATGAGCAGTCTGTGCCCACCAGAGAACCTCCCCCCCCCACCCCCGGCCAAAGGTGTGAACAATGCTCCTATTCCCTTCTTTTAACTCTGGCCTATCCCGCAGCCCACTCATCACCCATTCACCAGGGCCTGTCATCCTGGTAAGACCCCAGACTCACCCGAAATCCCGGCTTCAGTGCTAAGTGCTTTCCTGTTGGCCTCGCAGGAATCCCAGCCATGGATACTGCCGCCAGTGGTACTGCTGGGACAAGTCCATGCCACTCCTCCATTACTGGCTAGGAGCTCTCTGGGGTGGGACTAGTTCCCGATGTTGGGCAGACATCCCACTTGTAACAAATTAAAAGTATTCGTCTGTTTACTGGCTCAGGGCGATTTGGCGAAGAAGAAGTGAATCTGCCTTGGACTTTTACATGGAAGGGCAAAACTATCACTTCAAGTGTAAAATACAGCCTACGGTTTCTCCTGGCTAGACAGTCTAAAACTAGGAGGGCAGAGTCTCAGAATAAGTGTTAGATCACTTCACATGGGATGAGGAATTTGTTCACTGGGGCCTGTGAATCTCTGGAATTCTTTATCCCAGAAGGCTGTGGATGGGTGCTCGTTCAATATGTTCAAGGCTGAGATTGAAGGACTTTTGGATTCTAGGAAACAATTAAGTGATGTGGCGACCAAAGTGGGAAATGGAGTTGATCCTGCGGTATCGTCATCAATGGTAGAGAGGGTTGAATGGGCTATGCAGCCTACTCCTGCTCCAGTTTCTTATGTTCAAGACAGCATGGTATGTAACTTGGAGAATACTTTACATGTGCTCATAGCCTGCTCCTCTGGGGCAGTAGTGGTCATGGGATTGGAAGGTGCTGTTGAAGAAGCTATGGTGAGTCATTACTGTACATCTTGTAGATGGTACACACAGTGGCTATAGCTACAGTGCATCAGTGGTGATACCGGAAAGTATCTTATGTGGTGAATAGGTTGTCTATCAATTGCACTGTTTATTTCTGGATGGCATTGAGCTTTCTGAGTGTTTTTGGAGCTGCACTCATCCAGACAAATGGAGAGCATTCTCCATTAGGTGATGCTGCCATTTCTTTCCAGTTACAACATATCTGACTGTTGTCAATGCTCAAACCCTTATTGACCATTTGTTTCAGCAGATAATCTTTCATTCTTCCAACACACTTTCATTTTTCCCCACCAGTGAGTCATGCAACAAAGACCTGATGTTTTCTGATAGTGCGGCATGCATCTATTAGACTATGTTCAGCCCTAGTTTCAGTTAACAAAAAAACGACGAAGTACTGAAAAACTCAAAAGGTCAGGCAGCATCTGTGCAGGGAGAAAGAGTTAACAGGCTACATTTTACCAAAAATTGGCTGTTAAACTTGCAGAGTTTCAGGGAGGGCTTCTTTCTGTGAGTTCTAGCGAGTTATCTCACACAATTCTCCGCTGCTCACCTCATTATGTACGCCTTTATGGCACTGTGCTATCTGGCATTCACCAGTGGTGGAGGTACTATCACTCCCAGGATCTTCCATCAACCGCTCCAGCTATGGACCAGGTAATTCGCTGCAAGCCACAAATAGCCCTTCACCGATACGTAAATAAAGACAAACAGCTTCCAAGGGGACAAAGTTGGCACAGGTGATACCTCATTGCAAATAGAAGCTCACATTTGTATATTTACTGCTACTTTTCACCATCGCCTGCCTGATTGAGTATCATTATAACTGCAGCTACAAAAACTAAGCCACCTCCAGTGAAGGAGCCAAACATCTTAAGTATTTCTGAGAGACCCAGATGGAGACCAAGTGCAAAGACGGAGCATGTGAAATTATGGGATATCCTACCAAGACCTCTTCACATTTTGGGAGATCATATTCAAGAGGAAAGTATACTGTAAATGGCAGGACCCTTAGGATCTACAGAGGGATATACAGAGGGATCTTGTGCAAATCGATAGCTCTCTGAAAGTGGCAACACAAGTAAATAAGGTGGCAAAGAAGGCATATGGCATGCTTGTCTTCATCAGTCGGGACATTGACTACAAATGTTGGCGAGTCTTGTTGCAACTGTATAAAACTTCAGTTATGCCACATTTGGAATATTGTATGCAGTTCTGGTCATGACACTATAAGGGAGGATGTGGTGACTTTGGAGACAATGCAAAAGAGATTTACCAGAATGTTGCTGGATTGGAGTGTATTAGAGGTAAGGAGAGGCTGGACAAGCTTGGATTGTTTTCAATAGAGCATCAGAGGCTGAGGGGCAACCTAATAGAAGTATATAAAATAATGAGAGGCGTGGATAGGATGAATAGTCAGAGTATTTTTCCCAGGGTGGAAATGTCAAATACTGGGTGTCATAGCTTTGAGGTGAAGGAAGAAAGTGTTAAAGGACATGTGCAAGGAAAGTTTTTTACACAGCGGTAGGTAGGTGCCTGGAACGCACTGCCAGGGGATGTGGTAGAAGCAGGTAATATATCAATGTTTAAGAGGCATTTAGACAGACACATAAACAGGCAGGGAAGAGATGGGTATGGATCATGTGCAGGCAAATGGGATTAATTTAGAATGGCACCATGGTTGGCATAGACATGGTGGGCCGGAGGGCTTGTTCCTGTGTGTACTGTGTTCTATTTTCTACATTAAAATCACCTCCACCACCTGTGGGATGGTGTGCAGAACCAGCATTGGGCTGTTAAATCACTTCAGGACCCACAAACCTCTACCTCTGCCTTAAAAATATTTGAAGACTCTGTCTTCCACTGTCTACCGAGGAAGAGAGTCCAAAAGACTCTCCACTCTCTCTAAGAAAACATAACTGTCCTCATTTCTGTCTTAAATGAGCAATCCTTCCTTTTAAACAGTGACCTCTAGTTTTAGAGGTCAAGCCATGTTGGATAACTTTATACAAACTCCTTTCTTATATACTAGTCATTTCACTAAGTATCTCCCTTTTCATTTTGGAAATCTGACCGTATGGATGTCCCTCTCTAAATCTAAAATAGCAGGGGTCTAGAAAAGAACATAAAAGATTGTGAAATTTTCGTAATATGGGACATATTCGAATTTTCAACATAAGTAGAATTCTTTATATTTGAAAACACTCCTCACATACTTTTGTTCTTCAATAAAGCATATTACCCCATGAAGTGAACAATAAATAATGAACATTGCAATTTTAACATTAAAACCTGTTCTCTTGTCAATTACTAATTTTAGCCTATTGACTAATTAAAATATATATCTTCATCTAAGCTGTACTAACATCTAAAGTCTTCTGTTTTCCCGTGATTGTACGAATATTGAAATCATTTACCTTAAGCCCTGCTTTAAATTTAGTGAGATTTTTTACAAACAAATATTCCGTACAGTTCTGGTCATACTACTACAAGAAGGATGTGGATTCTTTGGAGAGGGTACAGAAAAGGTTTACCAGGATGTTGTCTGGTATGGGGGATTTTAGCTATGAAGAAAGGTTAGATAGACTGGTTTGTTTTCACTGGAACACAGGAGACTGAGGGGCGACCTGATAGAAATCTATAATGTTATGAATGGCATGAGTAGAGTGGAAAGTATGAGGTGTTTTCCCAGAGGGGAGGGTTCAATTACTAGGGGAGACAGGCTAAGGGTGCGGGGGATGGGGGGGGTTGGGGGGGTGGGGGGCGGTGGTGGTGGTGAAGTTTAAAAGAGATGTATGAGGCAAGTTTTTCACACAAAGGTTGGTACCTGGAATGTACTGCCAGAGGAGGTGCTGAAAGCAGACACAATAGCAGCATTCAGGAAGCACATGAATACAAATACATGAATACGAAGGGAATAGAGGAATTTGGATCCTGTAGTGAAGACAGTTTTAGGAATGGCAAAATGTGTCAGTCCAGGCTTGGAGGGCCAAAAAGCCTGTTCCTGTGCTGTATTATTCTTTGTTCTAAATAATTCGTCAATTAAAGTAGTAGAATTTCAGATAATCATGTTAATATTACATGAATAATTTTGGCCTATGGCCAGGCGATGGTTTAGGCATTTTCCCATTTTAGCAGGATTTTTTTTAAGCAGTAGTGCAGAAATATTCTTATTTTACATTCTTATGTCTTCAGTAATTAATGTTTAACCTTGTTTCCAAATCTAATATCTGTCCTTTTTGTCTTTAAAGAATTTCTATTTTAATATTTCCATTATCTATTTTATTTTTAACCAATGGGGATTTTAAGAATCTTGCGTCTTGCTTTCTCCTCTGCTAGCAGATTCGTACAAGCGTGCATAAACTTACAAAGTTCTTCATGATTGAGAACAAATTATTTGATTATCCTGCTGCAGTAAGATTATTTATAATTCTTGTCCGCATCTCTGTACAACTTTGAGCTATTATACTTGTTTTGCTATTTCAGTTTTCCAGTTATTATTCTAGTCTTGTTTAATTGAATTGCAATAAATAGATTACATTTTTTTTCGCTCTGAAAACAATTTATCAGTGATCCCACTGCATCTATCCGCCTCCCACTCTCTCCCTATTTATTTCGGA